TCTTCAAAAAATTGAGTTTAGAAAAAAAAAATTTTTTTGGCCCATTGCACCCTTTTGCTGTGGGAGTCCCCATATATTGATATACCTAACTTAAAATTATTACAACCGAATTCACCAAACAATGAAGCGAGTCAAGTTTTTCATCGTCAGAATACGATACATACCATTGCGATCAAACCAAATTTAACACTGTATTTTTACCTTTTTTAACTTTTCCGAAAGATACTAGTTCTAATATCTTCTGTAAACAAGATAGTTTCTAGATTGTATGTATAGTCTATCATTTTTTGTGTTCATAAAAGTTTCATAAATAATTTATTCTAAATTTGTACGAACTGTTCGCCGGACAGCTCAAAAAGGCTTGGTATATACAAATTCAAATGATTCGGTGGCTTGCCATAGAAATTGCGCAATGTGTTACTTTATAAATTTGGTGATCATTCAAAGCCTAACACCCCACAGAATTACTTATATTTAATTAGGAGGTAGGGTCTTTATTGGCACACGAGACACTAAGCGATCCCAAATTCGGTTAGTGATTTATTTCAAATATTTAATTTATCGTTAGTGAATTTATAATTATATATCTATATATTCTATATATATACAATTTAGGCATAGACTTTTGTTTGTACGTATCTGTACTTTTGATAACCTCCCTTTGTGTCAAGTAAGCAATAAACAAGTTACTAACAGCCCCAAAATTAATTTTTACCCGTCAAAAATATCGAGTTTTGATTATCTGTAAGATTGAATTGCGACACCATGAGAGACATATTTAATATAAATATATAGCTTCTACTAAAAAGTCGCAATTTTCAAAAAAAATTTTTTTATAATAATATATATATTATAATGACTACCGCAGCAAAATTGCAATCACTCGTTGATGCAGGAACACATCCAGAGTCATATTACGATAAATTATTGCATCCTACTAGTGCTCAATTAAGAAGATATTTATTATCAATTACTCGTAAAGAAACAAGGTTACTTGCCAAAATTCAGGTATGACTTTCTCATAAATTAGTTTTAACGAATTCATTATTTTCATTATTTTTTTCTGGACTATAAAAATCGTTTAACTCTATATAGAATTCTTTACGTCACCCATTACTCGACTCGTTTTTTATATATTCGTCCGCATTGGGAACGCATACATTTTTTATTTTATTTTTGCCGTTATTTTTCTGGATTGGTTATGGTTCATTGGCGAGAAGGTATGTTTTAATTATTAAAAATTCGAACTGAATTTTTATAATAATTTTTGATTTCCATAAAATCACATGACGACTCTCTTGAAAAGTCTTACTTTAATAGTCACGTCAGGTGTTATCTGTACCGGATTTTTAAAGGTATAATAAAAAAAATGTTAAAACTATATGACCTATAATACTATACGTTATTATGTATATAAATATATGTAATATCATTTATTATTTCTTCAGGACTTGTTATGTTTGCCTAGACCGATATCTCCACCAATTCGTCGCTTATCCGTGGGATCTCATCATCTAGAATACGGTTTTCCATCAACACATGCTACAAATGCGGTATCAATTGCACTCTACTTTCTAACAAGCATATATGCTGTCGAATCGAGTAATGTACTTAAATTTGTTGGTACAACTTGTCTGATTTTTTATTGTTTGAGTGTAATTACTAGTCGCATATATTGTGGTATGCATAGTCTTACCGGTATGTACTAAATAAATATAAATAAAATGTTATTAACGGTATTTATTTTAGTAATGTGAATTCCTTTCAAAAAAATAGATGTGTTGGCAGGATCAATTTTGGCAATATTGATTTGGTGGCTTCATTGGTGTTGGCAAATTCAAATTGATGCTTTTATTCTGAATGAAAGTCGGATTGGTGAATATACTACTTTGTTATTGTACATTATTATAGCGTACACTATATTTACTATATTTTTTACACTATCATATTATTATTAATATTTTTTTTCTCATCTTGATCCTGTTAGTTCCAGTTTCTGTGATCCTCTTTGGACTTTTTTTAATTTATATGTTCCCTGAAACTATAGATCATTGTCCATGTGTTGAAGATTCGTAAGTTTTTCTGACCATTTAAAATTATAAATTCAAAATCATTTTTCATTCTTCTTTTTATCTATTCCCATTGCTTAGCATTGCGTGTACGGGTGCAGCTGTCGGTATGATTATTGGAAGTTGGAATTTTTCAAAATCTGGTTTCTCGAATAATGGTGATGTGCCTTATGATTATAATTCTACTGGGCTTGTTATAACAATATCACGAATTATTTTGGGTATGTATTATTAAAGTAAAAGTATTTTTAAGGTTGTCGTAGACAAAAATTAAATTAAAATATCTCAACTACAAAACAAAATTTTATGGATTTTTTTTTTTTTTTGACTCTATAAATATCAAATTTAATTTAGTAATTGTTGAGGTATTTTAATTAAAATTTTTTAAAAAAATTTTATACATCTGCCCCCATTTTAAATTTTATTCTGAGTTTCTATCTATATTCATTATTTATCAAAAGGACTGATGATAATTTTCGTGTGGAGAATTATGATGAAGAAAACTTTACTAGTTGTTCTTCCACCTGTTTATAACGCATTTGATCAAATGTATCAAGATATCTTCATTAAAAAGTATATTTAACCATTCTTTACATAAATGCACACTTGTTGCCATTTGTCTAAATATTAACTTTTAATATTTATCAAATAGAAAGAATATTGATATGATAATAAAACTGATAGTCTATACAGGTAATTTATTTTATAAACATAATGTTAATTTGAAAATAAAAAACAACTAACTAATTACGGGAGGTTTTTTTTTTTAAAAATTTATTAAAGGTATAGGATGGCTAGTTACTGACGCGATTCCTAAATTATTCGAAATTTTTGGAATAGGAATGTGTGTTAAATAGTTTTGTAATATAATTTCAATGTAAAATATAATTGTAAAGCTGATAGAGGTATTGTAATATTGAGTATGTATCTCTAATTATAGGCATATAACATGTAATAAACAATATTTTAATTTACCAAGTTTTGTTTGATTTGATTAATTTTGCTATTGCTATATTTTAAACACCTTTACGAATGTCTCCCAATTTTTACTAGCTCTAACAATAATTGTATCTAAAAATAAATTTTATTGAAGTTATATATACTTATCTTTTTGTATTAGATAATATAATATAACATTTTTCTAATATTACAGTATTATAGCATGTTTTACAACTTATATAGAATTTTAACCTTTTTTAGGGGTCGTCTAAAGCCATGTACCCACGTGACTTTTTTGTGTAAATCAACCAACCGGAATCGCGAAATTTTGTTTACACGGATCAGCCCGAAGAAGTCA